GGTTAATTTTGCCCTTCTTTTTCTAGTTTCTTAAGGAGGAAACTGATGTCATTGATTTGATATTTTTTTTCTAATATAGATATGTTAGTTCTATAAATTTCCTAGAAACACTACTTTGGCTGTATCCGACAAATTTGTTGTGTTTTCATTTTAATACATTTCAAAAAAATTTCTAATTTCACTTTGATTTACTTTTTGACCCATGGTTATGTCAAATTGTGTTATTTACTTCCCAATGTTTGACAGTTTTCCAGGTTTCTCTTTGTTATTGATTTTTTATTTAATTCCATTTTATTTTATTTTTATTTTATTTTTTTAATTTTTTTTAATTTTTTTATTTAATTCCATTTTGGTCAGAGAACATACTTTGGATTTTTCTTTGATTAGAAAAAAACTTACATAAAGTTTACCATTTATGCTATTTTAAAGTGTACAACTGAGTAGATTTTCGTATAGTCACAAAGTTGTGCAACCGTCACCACTATGAAAACCCAGAGAATTTTCATCACCTGTAAAGAAACTCATACCCATCAGTAGTCACTCCTCATTTCCCCTTCCTGTTACCCCCTAGGAAACACTAATCTACTTTATTTCTCTATGGATTTGCTTATTCTGCCATTTCATATACACAGAATCATTCCATATGTGGCCTTTTCCTTCTGACTTCTTTCAATTAGAACATGTGTTCTAGGTTCAGCCATGCTATACCATATATCAGTACCTATTTTTTTTATTTGTCAAATAGTATTTCATTGTATAGATATACCACATTCTGTCTATCAGTGAATCAGTTGATGGACACCTGGGCTGTTTCTGCCTTTTGGCTATAATGAATAAGCTTCTATAAACATTCAAATACAGTATTTTATGAGAACATATGTTTTCCTTTCTCTTGGGGATAACTAGGCGTGGAATTGCTGGGCCATGGAGTAACTTTTGTGTTTAATTATTGAGAAACTTCCAAGTTGTTTTCAAAATGAATGTACCACTTTATATTCCCACCAGAAGTGCGTGAGAGTTCCAATGTCTTCATATCCTCCCAATACCTGTTATTTCCATTTTGAAAAATTATGGTGTTTTTTGGGCCAGTCTCAGCCTATCAAAAGGCAGGGTTGAGACTGGACTGGCCCTTGTAGTTTTTATTATGATTGCAAGATGCCCTTCAGCAATAGTGATCAGGAAATTTTGAAAAAATTAAGGTTTATCATAGGATCCAGAAATCACACAACACACCTGCAGCCATAGAGCAAGTTCACAGGGAAAGAGAGAGAGAGAGTGAGTCCACAGACCTGGAGTTCAGCTTTTATTGTGGTTAAGGGTGATATCTCAGTGTGGTTTTGATTTGTATTTCCGTAATGACTAATGATGTTGAGCATCTGACTTAATTCCACTTTGGTCGGAGAAAGTACTTTGTATTTTTATTACTCTTTTGCTTACTGGCCTAGAGTTTTGTTGGTTCACTCTTTATTGATGAATTTAAAAACGAAAGAGTGGGGTTGGGTGGGCGAACCAGTGACCCAAGTGGCCAGTCACTGAAATCAGCCAAGATCTCTAAAACAAAGAAACCTCAGTGGAGGGAGGCAGCCTGGCTCTTTATTTAGTTGTATGACTGGCAATGTGCTTATTCAAGCTAGCCATCTTTGAAATGGACACCTCGGCAATCAAAACTTGACAGGCACTTATATCACAAAAAGAGAAAACCCCCAGGTATCAGGGTTTACACTACCTTTAGCCATTCTGGCCAGTGTGAAGTGATAGCTCATTGTGGTTTGGACTTGCATTTCCCTAACGACTGACGATGTTGAGCATCTGTTCCTGCTTACTGGCTGTTTGAGGATCTTTGAAGGAATGTCTGTTAAAGTCCTTTGGTCTTTTAAGAATTTACTTTTGGTCTTTTATTACTGAGTCATAAGGGTTCTTTATCTATTCTGGATACTAGACCCTTACCAAATACTCAATGTACAAATATTTTCTTCCATTCTGTGGGTTGTCTTTCTTCTGCCTTCTCAAATCTTCTGTTGATTCCCCTCTAGTGAATTACTTTATTTTAGTTTTTGTACCCTTTAACTCCAGAATTTCTATTTGCTTCTTTTTAAAAATTTCTATCTCTTCACTGATATTATCAATTTGGCAAGATAGTGTTCTCCTGGTTTCCTCTAGTTCTTTGTCCGTGGTTCTCTTTATCTCTTGAACACCTTCAAGTTTGTTGATTTAAGAGCCTTATGTCTACTAAGTCCACCAAGTGTGCTTCCTTAGGAACAGTTTCTTTTCATTGCTTTCCTCCCCTGTGAATGGGTCATACTTTCTTATTTCATGGCATGGTTTGTAATTTTTTTGTTCAAAAGCAGACATTTTAAATATTATAATAGGGCAACTCTATAAATCAGGCTCTTGCTCCTCCCCAGGTTTTGTTTTTCCTGCTTGTTGTGGTTGTTTACTTTGTTTAGTGACTTTTCTAAAGCTGGAAATGCCTGGAACCAAAAAGAAGTCTCAGTCATTGCAAGTGGCTTCTGTATATACATTTGGACACGCTTTCAGTGTTCAGCCTGGCGGTTTACAACTCTGTCTTAGCCTTTGCTTTCTGCTTGTGTAGAGCCTGAAGGTCTGTTACAGGTGAAGGCTTAGGGTCTTTTCGAGTCTTTCTTGAGCATACACACAGCCCTGGGCTTATGTATGGCCTTTAGGTTTCCAGGAATATTTTGGAACTTTTGAAAGTCTTTATTCCCCAAAGCATATTTCTTTCCTCCCAAGTTTTTGGTTAGTTGATAGCTTGCCAAGCTATTATCCATTTCCCTAAGCAGCAGCATCTAATACATTTACCTGTAAATATTTGACAAATGCCTCCCTACAACCCTCCCTCCCACCTCCGCCCTGGCAGTTGGCTTATCACTGGGTGAGTTCCAAGTTAGGGTGGATAAAGGCAAATATTTTGAGTCTATCTTCCAGGGAGATACAAGTTTGGTCAAAATAATCAAGCATCATTCTTTGAGAATGAAGTCCATTCATCTCCTCCCAGTACCTGTACATGTACTGGGGATGTGGGCTATTTCTTCAAGGCCATTGCTGAGCTAGGGAGTGAGAGATGGGACCAAGGCAAGTTCTAATAACACAAACTCTCTGTTCTTATTGAGATTCAGCCATTTTTCTTGATTAAGCATTTTCCTGCTTCCTATGAGCTTTTGGTTTGTTCCCAGGATCCCAAAAGTGTTGTTTTTGAGAATTTTGCCAATGCCTTTAAAGAGGGATGACTTTTGGAGCTCTTTACCCTCCATTTACATTGATGACATCCACTTTGCATGTGCTGAATGGTTCTAAATACACAGAGACTTGTTTTGTGGCTCAGATTGTGGTTTACCTGGGCGAAAGGTTCATGTATACTCGTATTAGTCATCTTGGGTTCCTTTAACACAATACCATTGACTGACTGGCTTAAATAACAAACATTTACTTCTCACAGTTCTGCAGTCTGAGAAGTCCAAGATCAAGGGGTTGGCAGATTCAGTTCCTGGTGAGGGCCCCCTTCCTGGACACCTTCTTGGTATGTTCTCATGTGATACAGATCAAGCTCTGGTCTCTATTCCTCTTCTTATAAGGATGCTAATCTCATCGTCAGAGCCCCATCCTCATGACCTCATTTAAACCTAATTACCTTCCAAAGGCCCCACCTTCAGATACCATCACATTGGGGGTTAGAGCTTCAGCATATGAATGTAGGAGGTAAGGACACAAATGTTCAGTCCATAATAGTACTTGAAAAAAATATCTATTCTATTGGGTGGAGTGTTCTGTAACTGTCAATTACATCAAGTTGATTAAAGTGTTATCCAAGTCTCCTATGTATTTATTTTCTTTCTACTTGTTCTATCAATTAACAAAAGTGAGTTTTTGAAATTGCTGCTTGGAACTGTGAATGTGTCTACTTCTCCTTTTAGCTCCATTAGTTTTGCTTCATGTACCTCCATTATATGAGGTATAGAAACCTTTGCAATTATTATGCACTCCTAATTTATTGAGTACCTACTACATGACAAGCATTCTTGCACCTGTTTTCCATACACTAACTCCTTCATTGTTAAAGGTGTGTTCAGTGATCACTACCTGAGTTTTCGAGAGGAGAAGAAAACAGACACACGAAATGGTGATGAGCCTTGCACAAAGTTTTGCATAGTAGGACAAAAATCCAACAAGTTAGACCCCAGAATCCCCAGTTACAACTACTGTGCTATTTTAGATGTGGAGTGGGGATCTGAACTTTGGGCAGTCAGGGTAAGGAATATGATTAGATCGGCTGCTCCCTTGATTTTTTTCGCCTTTTGTTGTCGTTGTTGAACTGGTTCTAATCTTGGCATATCATGCACACCTATCATTGGATAAGAAAACAAAACACGTTTCCTGGCGAAATAGAGGTAATTTAGATTGGAATCAACTTTGAAATTCTATGTTTCTGTTCCTCTCTCCTGGTATGTCTGTGTGACCTGAGAGCTGATTTCTTTCTTGGTGTCCCAGGGTTGTACAAAAGCCGTCTCAGGATGGCTGATGAGAAAAACAGTAAGCATCTTAAATAGACTTTATCGAGTCCATGAAACCTATTGCCAAAGAAGCTCAGTAGTCAGCCCCACTTTCCAATAAAGCTTCCTTCAGGTGCCTCCCCCAAACCCCTTTTTTTTCCCTGACAAATCACTTAGAGATAGGGCATTGGACTTTAAAGAAAAAGTAGGGATCTGAGTTTTGGCTTTTCCCACTTACTAACTTTGTGACTTTGGGAAAGTGACTTTAATCTGTAAAAATTGGTCTATTAATAATACCTACAAAAAGGTTTTTTTTTTAATAGTAATACATAAAATGCTACTTAAATGTGGGGTACTATTATAATTATCTCTGTTTATAAATAAAGGAGGCCTGTCTCCTCCAGTATCTACTTGGCAGACTGAGTCAGTACTAATAATTATCAGTTACTGAGTCTCTTCCATGTATCAGGCACTTTTATCTATATAATCTCATCTAGCCCTCATTTAACCCAACAACTTTGTGGAATCTTTTTTGTTATCAGATTATACAGAAGAGGAAATAGAGACTGAGAGGTTACATTACTAACCCGTGCTCATGCCCAGAGTGTATATGGACACCAGGAGACAAATTCGGTCTGTAAGTAAAGCCTCCTTCTTCCATACACCTCCCCGCTCCTCCATCCCTCAAATGATAGAGGAGGTCTCCTACACTGTCCAAGTACAGCCCTGCAGGTTATGCATTGAACTCCAGAGAGGGTCTTTTTTTCATAGATTTCAGTGTGAATGGTGCCCCCCACGGAGGTATGCCATTCACACCTTGGAGACATGTATAAGGAGGCCCTGAAGCAGCTGATGTGTTTTATTCAGAAAGGAGAGAATGTTTTGATGATGGCCACATCCTCACCCCTGCATTCTTCCTTGTAATCATTCTTGGAGGTGCTTTCCACGCTTTTATGATTCTGAGTAAATGACCTGAAGGGACTTGGCTGCACCACCTCTTGCCATGTGGTGTGACTTTCTCAACATGATGGTAATGGATATGCCTGCATTTGTACACTTTGGGTATTTACCTTCCATGTGCCCCTACATGCCTGCCACCTTCCAAAAAACTGCTGTGAAAGAAATCGCCTGGCTGGATTTGGCAGTATGATGCTAAACCACAAGCAAGGGTAAGCTATTTCCTTTGAATTCATCGGAGATTTCCTTCAGGTACTCATGTGTGCTTAAGTGACTATAGTCTGAAAGGCAGTCTTCCATGAAATGAACAGTTTCTTGTCTCTTTTTCCAGAAAGTTGCTCTGTGCCTTTGGCTGTGAGAAATGGCTTTATCCATATATGAGTGAACATATGAGTTTAGGGATAAGTTAGAGGACATGAGTAGTCTTCACTTGGGTATGTTTTCTTCTTCTCTAGGCCAGCTTCTCAAGTGCTATGGTCCCCAGAGATCTTTCCCTACTGCTAAGCTTTAACGAAGTGTTTGCACTCATGGAGCCGGAGGCAGGAGAAACACTGTCAGTGGATTTGAGAAAGGTTTGTGATCTGGGCTGGACCCAGCTAATGATTTCATTTCATTACTTCAGTAAGAGTAACAAGAAGATTATTATTCTCCCTTACATTCACATGGGGTTTTACAGAATGCTTTCACAGTCAGAAGCTGCAATCTATGTTATGACCTTGTGAAGTTGGACAGATAGATAATTTTATGTCATACAAAAGGGGAATCTGGAATATGAGGCTAAAGATGTTAAACAAAACATCCAAGTTCAAAAATCAAATAAAAATCTAAACTCTGGGCTTTCCTTCCCAGGATGCCCATAGCAATCAATGAATCCATTTAAAGGTCATGGAGACCTAAATCCTTTGCTTTTCTCAATTCCTAAACCCGAAGATTTACTGCAACAATGTGGAGAACATTAAAAACCTCCCAAATTATAGCGATTTTAAACTAAATAGAGTTGGGTCCATATTCCAGTAGAATAAATCCATATTTTTTATAAATTGACTCATCCAGAAATAGCCCTTTAAAGATGTAATCCTTTATTTCATCTACAAGTGCCAACATAAACAGCAAGGGGAAGAACTCCAATTGCTGCCTACTAAGAGTTGCTTCAATAAGAACTACCCGAGACCAGGCAGTATTTATAGCCCAATGTAAGTATGCAGTCCCTGTTGCCCTACAGAGCTGTAAGGAGGTAGAGCATGGATAGCCCAGCTGATTGTCATCCAGCCAGATTATGATGCTATCTCCATTCTCAGAGACTTGGAAATAACTTTATGCTTTTAGAAATCTATGTTTACACTCGGCAAGTTATACCCACAGGCGCCATGACAGTTTCTAGGCTGACCATAAAAGGTCAAAAAGTGGGCAGGGTCCCATTCCTGGAAATCCTCACCCCTTCCCCAACATAGTTGGAATAATTCTCCTTCACCTTAGCATATGAAATTACCGAGCTCATAAAAGCCAACAACCCTGCATCTTGTGGTAGCTCTCTCTCCTGCCTTCTGGGACAGCCTGCACTCTATGGAGTGTGTATCTCCCTGAATAAACTTAACTTTCCCTTAACTATGCCTCAATCTTGAATTCTTTCCTGCATGAGACAAGAACCTATTCTATGGAGACATCTCCTGTGAAAGAAATTGAGTGTGCCTTGAAGTTCAAGTTCTACTGGAAATCGAATCTTCCACAATTTTGGTTCTAACCAGTTTGTCCTGTCCTCAATTGCTGTGTCATTCCTTCAGTGGTTGTGCCCTGCCCTCTTCCCTCCTGGCTCAGAAGGGCAACTATTATTTCAGAAAATGAAAATATCTTTTGATTCAATGGAAGCTGGTGCTGACCCACTGCTCAGTGGGGAGTTTCACAAAGAGATCAGCCTAGACCAAGATTGGAGCAGGTTGGAATGAGAGATAAAATTTAGAAAAATGGGAGAGTTAAGGTTTGTGATTCCAAATTTCCTTGTGTGGTTTGACATGGTTCCAAAAACTTCTTCCAAGTGAAATACCAAAGCAATAGTTCCAGCTCCCTTGAGAGCAAACACCTTTTTAAAATCTTAGCTGGTGGGGAGTTTGACATGTAACACATGCAGACATGTTCCCTCTGAATAACCAGAAACAGCAAAATAGACAAGAATGGGAGAGTGGAATATGGTGTTAGAAACTCTTTGTTGGAGGTAAATGCTTGAACATGTATCTATTCTAGGGTGATACTTTACAAATTTTCTCTCTTGTCTTAACTGAAATTTCATGTGGACATGTAATACAAAATATATAGAGAAAGCTGGAGCTGTTATGGTGGAATGGGAGGTTCTTACATGGAGTCTGCTTGATCTGCCACCCACACATGTCCTCTGGGGAACATCTCAAGCACTTAAGATCTCTAAGGAACACAGTACAACGCCAGTGGGCTGGGGAGTTTCTAGAATTTCTTTGTGGGGAATGAGGTGCTTGCTCTGTGGCAATTGCTAGAGGAGGCCAGGAAGAAAAGACTGGACTCTGAACTCTTTGATGGGAAGGATCCTAACTTACTCATTTCTGCATTATTGATGACAACCCCAGGACTTGGCTCATGCATGGCAGATACTAATTAATTTTGCAGTTTGTTAAATAAATGACTGTACTTTAAGAAATCTGTATTTGAGTGACAAAAGTACCTAAAACCAAGTGAGACCAGAAAAGTAAATATATTAAGGAGAATGAATGTGGACCTTATCTGACTCGATGTCCTCATAATTGCCTACCTGGAGCGGTACCTCTTACTATTTGGTTCTAATGAGGAATGAAATATGTTAACACTAATGAATCTCCGAGCATAATGAAACTTTACCCTGATGTGTTTGTCAGATCTAGTTCATATGCATTCTAGAAGTTGGATTTAAGAACGATGGCTCTCAGATTTTTGAATGCATAAGAATCACTCCAGGAAACTGCAGAAAACAGATTCCTGGGTTATGCTTACAGGGAAGCAAAACTTGCCATCTGAAAATGTCTCTATGGTTTGTAGATTATTACATACTGAGAACGCTCAGGTTGAAAAGACACAGGAAAAAACTTTGCCTTCCCTCTAAATGCCTAAAAAAATTTAGATAGAAGGTCTGTTATAGGAGTAGAGCTATCACCAGAGATAATCGCAAGATTATGGACTCCGTGTGGTGGGGCGAACAGAGCCTGGAGATCAGAGTCCACTCTGTGTCCCATTATCTCTGCAGGTCCAGCAAACATTTGTTTACCAAACATTTGCTTTTCCATCCCGATATGAATTGCCATATTCCCCTCTGGCATCCCAGACCACTACCCCCAACATCCCCTTTTGTCTTTAGCTGAAGATGGTATTCAAAGTGAACGTTTCAGCCATTTTTTTTAGCTACTCAGTTTTCCTGGGTCTCTCCCATTTATACATGTTATTAAACTTTCTTTGATTTTCTCCTGTTAATCTGTCTCATGTCAGTTTAATTTTCAGACCAGCAGAAGAACCTAGATGGGTAGAGGATAGTTTCCTCCTCCCAGACATGCTCTAGGTGTTCTGATTTAGCAGGTGTAGGGTAGGGACTAGGAGTCCTTCTACCAGTGGTTCACAGGCCACAGCATAAGAAACCCTGGCGGCCCTGGATGAAAGGTGCAGGAAATGAAAGGTAATTGCTTGTTCTTGGAAGTGACAACCACTTTTCAAAGATTTTGTTTCCAGATAGTAACTTTCACCTTGCAGGCTTTCCAGGTCCCCACCTGCAGTGGGACTGCAGGGGCGGAGGCCTGGGAAGATGACCCCAACTGCAGCTGTAGTGTGGATTTGCTCTTTTGACACATTTCTATTAAAAGCCTGGAATAGCCCCAAAAGTATCAAGTGGTGATCGGAATGTGTTCAAAATAATGTGGAAAGCATATCAGAACAACACAGTGCAAATCTCTACAATCACATTCTTTCAAAGAAAACCATATTATTAGCAGGGTCCATTCAAATCTACCAGCAGGACAAAATGGAAAAACTAAATTCCTTTGCGATTACGATATTTTCCTAGTCGCTAAATATTATGACTCTAAAGGCCTGGCTTTTAGATGGTAATAACAAGTGACATTTGTACATAATGCACGTTTACAAAGGCTTTTTCTAATCAACTAGTCCACAAAGAAGCCTTGAGAGATTGGTGTGGCAGATTTGATTTCAGAATATTAAGTCATTTTTTAAAACAAAGGAGCATCATCTTAAATGATGTTGGTTCCATAATTAGTTCCAATGTAAAAAAAAAAGGTTTTTTTTAATGCCTTAGAGGATAGTTGAAATAACATATAGCAGACAAAAGCCTCTGAGGGCAGGTTGGAAAGGAAACTATTGCACCCCCACCCCATCTCCAGAATGTCTGAAGCAACAATGCAACTTCACAGGAGGTGTAAGTCAGTCCCATTATGTCTCAATGATCTGTTATGGTATCCTTGTTTCAACAAAATACTGAACAATCAGTCCTTTACAGTTAAAATATCTCTAGATTACTGATGAAGTCTGTTATCCCAGCTGTCTCTCAGTCTTGTCAGCTCTTACTCAGAAATAGCCGAATGGGAAAAACCACAACAAAATTCCTTACAATATGTAAACATGATTTGCAAACATTTCTAAGGAAACTGAGGATGCCTGCCAAGAAGGCTTTTAATA